ATGGTGGCGCGTGCCTGTAATCCCAGCTACTCAGGAGGCTGAGGCAGGAGAATTGCCTGAACCCAGGAGGCGGAGGTTGCGGTGAGCTGAGATCGCGCCATTGCACTCCTGCCTGGGTAACAAGAGCGAAACTCCGTCTAAAAAAAAAAAAAAAAAAAAAAAAGAAATCATGACGAGGCTGGGCGCGGTGGCTCAAGCCTGTAATCCCAGCACTTTGGGGGGCCGAGGTGGGTGGATCACGAGGTCACGAGATCGAGACCATCTTGGTCAACATGGTGAAACCCCGTCTCTACTAAAATACAAAAATTAGCTGGGCATGGTGGCACACGCCTGTAGTCCCAGCTACTCAGGAGGCTGAGGCAGGAGAATTGCTTGAACCCGGGAGCCGGAAGTTTCAGTGAGCAGAGATTGTGCCACTGCACTCCAGCCTGGGTAACAAGAGCGAAACTCCGTCTCAAAAAAAAAAAAAAAAGAAAAAAGAAATCATGACTATCTTTACAATATTGAGACATTTTATCCATTAACATGGTATAGCTTGCTATTTAGTCAGATTTCTTTTTATGTTTTTCACTAAAGCTTTGTAGTATTTGCAGTAGTGCTGCTCTCACATAGTTTTATTGAATTTATTTCTAGTTACTTTATAGTTTTATTTGTTGGTTTAAATGGGACCTTCCCCCTGCACCCAGTTGGGTATTGTTGGCATATAAGAAAGCTCCTGTTGTTTGATAACTCCCCACCAAGCTATATTCACTTACCAATTCTAATAGTTTCTCATTTGGTCCAAGTCCACCTTCTTGTCTCAGTTCAGAATAAGTTCTAAATGACAATTTATTAAATGAACTTTTTAAATGATTGATGATTCTGTAGCTTCCTGAGTTACCAGACTGAGCCTGTGTTCTCCATTCTGGGGGCAAAAGCACAGGAAACTGAGCACTGGCCATGGTCATTGATAACACTAGATTGTTTTTCCATTTGTCCTTTTCTTGCCACAGCAATAACCAAAGCAGACACCCCCAAAAAAACACAGCTAGCTGAATCTAATTAGTTGGGTTTCACATTTTAATATATGAAATTAATCTCTTGGAACAGATTTTATCTCAAAATCTGAAGCAAGAAATAAATTGCTATGTGTGAAAACATTCACTGAAAAAGCAGCTGGAAATGATGCCACGTGTGATCAAGTCACCGGAAGACCTGCAAGGTGGTGAGTGAGGATCCCAGGGCTGCAGGAGGATGTGTAGAATAAAAGTGCTCTCTGCACAGCCACCATTTTCCACCCCACTCCTGTCCCTCCTCTCTGCTCTGCACCTACCACTCCCCACGCAGGGCATTCTAAGTGTTAAGCAACACGTCATACTAAGAATCACCCACATTTTGCCATTCTCTCTGTGGGAAACCAAACATTGCTCATGTCTCTAGTGAGGAAACAATTCAAAGTAAACTACAAGTGGACAAGAGAGATGTAATCTCCTCTATGAGGAACGGTATTGCATAAGTGAAGAGAGGAAACTTGAAGAATTCTTCCTGCTTAGGCCAGGCACGGTGGCTCACACCTGTAATCTCAGCCCTTTGGTAGGCCGAGGTGGGTGGATCACTAGGTCAGGAGATCGAGACCAGCCTGGCCAATATGGTGAAATCCCGTCTCTATTAAAAATACAAATATTAACTGGGCGTGGAGGTGGTGTGTGCCTGTAATCCCAGCTACTCGGGATACCGAGGCAGTAGAATCGCTTGAACCAAGAAGTTGGAGATTACAGTGAGCCAAGACCACACCATTACACTCCAGCCTGGCAATAGAGTGAGACTCCATCTCAAAAAAAAAAAAAAAAAAGGAATTATTCATGCTTAAATATATGTACTGGAATACTGTCCCTTTGACAAACAGAAATTAAATCAGCACAAAGTTAATATTTTACTTATTTAAGCTTCAGTGCCTCTGTTGACATTTTGGAATATACCTTTCCAGATAATTTTATGTATTTATGCAAAATCTACAAGGCAATTGACTCCTATATAATAATGAATGCTTAAGAAAGTAACAAGGCTAGGCATGGTGCCTCACTCCTACAATCGCAGGTATTTTAGGAGGCCAAGGCAGGTGGATCCCTTGAGCCCAGGAGTTTGAGACCTGCCTAGGTAATGTAGTGAGACTCTTGTCTCTACAAAAAATAAAAATTTAATTGGCCAGGCATAGTGGGGCGCATCTGTAGTCCCAGACACTCAGGAGGCTGAGGTGGGAGGATTGACTGAACCCCAGGACGACCACCCTGCAGTGAGCTGTGATGATGCCACTACACTTTGCACTCTAGCCTTGGAGACAGACAAGACCCGTGTCTCAAAAAAAAAAAAAGAAAGAAAGAAAAAGAATGTTTAAATCTTCCTGATGGGAATGGAAAACCAAACATCGTATGTTCTCACTAATATATAGGAGCTAAGCTATGAGGACGCAAAGGCATAAGAATGGTACGATGAGTTTGGAGACTTTGAGGGACTTGGGGGGAAGAGTGGGAGGGAGCAAGGGATAAAAGAGTTCAAATATGGTGCAGTGTATATGGCTCAGGTGATGGGTGCACCAAAATCTCACAAACCACCACTAAATAACTTACTCATATAACCAAGTACCACCTGTACCGCAATCACTTATGGAAAAAATAATTTCTAGTGCAAGTTTTTCCTGCATTTGGATGAGGATATAAGTTCAGCTCTAATAAATTACAGTGTATCATAAGGATTAAACATCTCTCCCCTGCGTTCTCTCCTAGCTCTGTTCCATCCCACACACAGCTGCTGGATTAATCTTCCAAAACACCAATTTTCTCATGCCACTTTTCAAAAACTGGCTTCCTGGCTTCCTGTGGTCTAAAAACTAGTTTCAAATGCTTTTGTCTGGCATTCAAGGAGGTTGGTAGTGTAGACTCTCCTAAATGTTTCACTCCTACTTCTTGCTTCTACCGCATACCAGCTGTGTGCCCTTGGGATAGTTATTATTATTATTATGAGACAGAGTCTTGCTCTGTCATCCAGGCTGGAGTGCAGTGGTGCGATCTCGGCTCACTGCGACCTCCCCCTCCTCAATTCAAGCAATTCTCCTGCTCAGCCTCCCAAGTAGCTGAGACTACTGGCGTCCACCCCCACGCCTGGCTTGGGCTGGTTATTTTAAGACCCATCCCCCTGCCCTTGTAAAGATCCCACACACCTCCTCCACTCAGTGACTCACTGTAGCAATGCCCAGAAAGCCTGGAACTGAGTCATATTCCAGACCCTGGACTACTCAGGAGTCAGGGGTGATGGTACCACCACCTAATCGCATGGATTGAGGATGGGAACAGTGATTCTCAAGAAGAAAATTTGGGCACCCGTATGAGAAGTTAGTACAACTGCCTATAAGCACTCTGGGCAAAATTTAACAACTGTCTGTTCCAAAAATGCAGAGACACAGGAACTTAGTAACTCTTGTTGGGGTATCTTCCATCATATACGACTCAGTAAGGGTGTATATCAAGCAAATTCAACTGTAGGGACTGCCCCATTCTGAGGCATAGTGTCGCTTATGTTCCTAAATTCATATTTTACCATTGCGGTTCTAGCCACTCTCTGTAGATCAGTCCCACTTGAGCAGCCCAATTTGCTGAGTTTTATCTGTATACAATGTACATATCCTTTGACATAAGAGGTATGTGGTTCAATAATTTAATTTTTTATCGTAGATTGCAGAAATTTCACTGTAACACTTGCCTCAAATGGTACAAAATAAACAAAAAGAATGTAGGTTGTGATGAATCAAACAAAACATACTTCGAGTTGTTGTTTCCCCCTTTTGAAACAGCACATTTCTGTTGGTGAAAAGACATGAGACCAAAAAGAATTACAGTTCAGAGTTTCAAAAAGCAAACCAGCTTTAGCGCAATGCTTGAGGTTGGGCTGATAACAAGATCACTCGACTGGTGTTTCCTGACAGCCAACGTCAGAATAATTCCATCTTCATGAGAATTACAGAAAGAACCACAAACCAAACCTCCAAATTGATTCAAAGATAAAATACCCTTAAAAAAAATTTCCCTTCCTATCCGAAGGCAGACCAAGAGGAAGTTTATCCCCCCACCCACAAATTCCCCAGAGAGCTTTCATCTAGAAGGTTTGACTCTGGTTAGATACCCAGCGAGCATCTTCTCTGAACCTCTTGTTTCTTCCGTGGCAAACTCCAGAGAATAAGAAGCCAGATTCAAGATTGCCATGGGCCTCAGGACGACTAAGCAGATGGGGAGAGGCAGTAAACCTGGTCACCAAGAGTGTATGTAGGCATTTGTTGTTTTCCTACCTTTCTAAGAGCTGGGTTTTTAGCCAGAGGTTGCTTATTTACGATAATTTTCCAATATATTGGACACTAAATACTATTATCTCTTTCCACCCAACTTTTATCTTTCCGTTCTTATATGCGAAGGCAGAGAAAGATTATTTAGAGCACTTAAAGATTCCTATTAAATTTAAAATGCCCGTAGCCTTCCTATAATAGATTTAAGGTTGATGATCGCTTTGGTTAAAATATAGCAATCTTAAATATATTTTTCACAACCAATTCCAACACGTTCTCAGTTAAGTCCTGGGTATTGAACGTAATATTTTAAATATTTGAAGTCAGCATTTCCGAGAGAACTCGAAGCTGTTTTTTCTAGAGAGGCTGTGCGTGTGAATCGGGCAACTTCTTTTCACTCGTTTTGTGCAGCACTCACCCTGGAGGTCTAATGCCAAAGAAAAATCAAAATAGTACCAGCATGTGCCATCATGCAGCGGCAGAGACTGCTTAAAGATCAGGAAATTGTTCAAATATCAGATAGCCGGCGGGCATCTCAGCCCAGGCCTGTGTAAGGGGAGTTCTGGTGCCTCTGCTGAGGGCGTGATTAGGGCGCCAGGAAAGCGACCCGCGACTGCAGCCGTTTGTTAAGGCCAGTCCTTCGCTCTCGGTCTGTCCCGGGCGGCAGTCGTGTGAGCCCCCCGCTAGGACCCGGCCAGGGGAACGTGGGCACCAGGCAGGGAGCGCGCTCCGGGCGCTGGGGACGCCGGGGACACCCGGGGCCCCTCCTTGCCTCCCAGCCCCGGGTCACCGCACTCCGGCTCCCGCCCCGCGCCTCTGGAGGGAGGTACCGAGGGACGCCGGGCGAAGGGGCTTTGCTAATTGCCAAAGCAGGAAGTGAGCTCGTGGAAGAAGCCGAGCAGAAGAAGAAGGAGGGAGGAGGAGAAGGCGGAGGAAGGCCGGGGCGCGCGGGGCCGCGGCACTTTGCTCCTGGAGCGTAGAAGCCGCAGGACTGTCCATCCCCGTGGTCCCACTGTCCTCCCGCGCCCCGGAGGCCGGCCAGCCCCGCTCGGACGCTCTTCTGCCCCTAACCCGCCCCCATGGCTTCACCGGAGGACCCTCTGCGCGCAGGTAAAGGGACACAGCCCCGTGCCCACACCTGGAGCGGGCGTCGCGGGCCGGGATCTCGGGAGGCGCTCGTAGCAGCCGCAGGGCCATCGAGGCCGAGCCTCAGCGACCCTTGAGGGGCACCGGGCGACCACCCCGATCCAGGCGCCAGACCCGGAGTCGCGCGGGGTCCCCAGCCCAGGCCGGCGAACGGCTGCTGACCGCCCCTCCCGCGCTCCCCACGACCCCTGTGCCGCGTCACCCACCGCGCGCTCTCCCCCTGCCCGCGCCGGAGCGCGGGTTGCTTTTGTTCTGGACTCGAGATGCCAGGTTGAGACACGTCCCGCAAACCTCTGGCAGAAATGGGCGCAAGAGGGTGGATCTCGTCGTCTCCCCTTGGGCTTTTTCTTTCTCCCAGCTCATATGCCTTCTCATTTCTCCTCTCCCTCTTGCCCATTGCGCTTTGATGAAATGGTTTTGTTTGTCTAAACATTGGCCCTGGGAACTATTTCATCAGATAGTACCGCAGAAGCAGAACCAAGAGGCCGATCCCACCTGTGAGATCCCATCTGTGGTTAGAATGACCTCTACTTCTGTCTTGATTTTAAAATATTGTGTGTTGGTACTCGAGGTCAGAGTGGAGATTTTTCTCTGTTCTTTCACGTGAATCTGAAATCCGCCCCACACCTTGCTTTCCTGGAGTTCTCTCTGCTGTCCTATAACCTAGGAGGTGACCTCCATGCGTGTTTCTTGAACACATCAGTGAATGAATGATCTGTCCCCCAGAATACCCTGGGGCTTTACGTGGTTTTGCTGAGGCTGGAAACACTGAAGAGAGTTACGCAGAACCTGATATAACCGTTTAGATAAACGCGTTTCCTATTTCGTTTCTTGAGCTTGGGCAGCCGCGGAGTTTGAATGTTCCGTCCTTATATTAGGTCTTCAGCGGTTAGAAGGAAACAGTGCGTCTGAAGGTGGTCAGGAGTCGACACCCAACAGCTAAGTTGGCATTGTGATGGCTGGGTTTGGGGGAGTTTCTTGGAGACTTCAAAGAAAGATCTACCTTCTTCTTTAAGTGGGGATTGGTAAACATTGTATCAATTGGATGTGGAAAATAAATACATGTCTAGATATTCTTCCCTATCCCCATACCTATTGTTTGAAAAAACAGAAGGGGAAACAAAGGGAGAAATCCTCCTACTGCCCCGTGCCACTCCGCTCTCACCCTAGCATCCACCTCCTCTTCTGAGAACTGAATTGACAAGGTGCCAAGAGGTGTTTGAGGCTAGATCTGACTAACCATGGTTAGTCAGATCTCATTAAATGATGACTGTACGGGTGGGGGGTGGATTCAAAAGAGACCTTGAGAGAGAGATACACTGCATAGAGATATAACGTAAAATCTCCTTGGGCCCCCCTAAATCAACAGTACCAGGAAAGATGGGGGCTGGAAAATAGCTCAGCAGTGACGGAGGTGCATAAAAAGCCCAGTGGCTGTGTGCAGTGGCTCGGACCTGTAATGCCAGCAATTTGGGAGGCTGAGGCAAGAGGATTGCTTCAGGCCAGGAGTTTGAGATTAACCTTGGCAACATAGTGAGACCCTGAGTCTACAAAAAATAAAAAAATTAGCTGAGTATGGCAGTGCATACCAGTCCCAGCTACTTGGGAGGCTCAGGCAGGAGGATCGTTTGAGTCCAGGAGGTGTCGCCTGGGTGACAGAGCAAGAATCTGTATAAAAAAAGAGAAAGAGCCGGGCGCGGTGGCTCAAGCCTGTAATCCCAGCACTTTGGGAGGCCGAGGCGGGTGGATCACGAGGTCGAGAGATCGAGACCATCCTGGTCAACATGGTGAAACCCCGTCTCTACTAAAGTGCAAAAAATTAGCTGGGCATGGTGGTGCGTGCCTGTAATCCCAGCTACTCCGGAGGCTGAGACAGGAGAATTGCCTGAACCTAGGAGGCGGAGGTTGCGGTGAGCCGAGATCGCGCCATTGCACTCCAGGCTGGGTAACAAGAGCGAAACTCCGTCTAAAAAAAAAAAAAAAAAAAAAAAAAAAAAAAAAAAAAAAAAAAAAGAGAGAAAGAAAGAGAGAGAAAGAGAGAGGGAGGGAGGGAGGGAAAAAGAAAAGAGATAAAGAAGGAAGGAAGGAAGGAAGGAAAGAAAGAAAAAAAAAAAAACCTTACTGAGTCAATAGTGCTATGAGGCCCTGGGAAACAAGGGAGAGTCTAGTGGGGGTGGCTAATACGATCACAGATGAGAGTAAATAGCACTGTAGTTTCCCATGATGGTCTTCTTAGTTGACTTTACCCAGCGATAATGGCTGTGCACAACCTGGAATAAACTGGCTACATGGAATGAAGGGATTTAAAAATCCCAGCACATGTGGAGTAGTGAGAGGACAGAGGATATGATGATAAGAGGGTGTCATGGGCTGGGTGTGGTGGCTCAGGCCCATAATCCCAGCTCTTTGGGAGGCCAAGATAGGCAGATCAAGAGGTCAGGCATTCAAGACCAGCCTGGCCAATAAGGTGAAACCCTGTCTCTACTAAAAATACAAAAATTAGCCGGGTGTGGTGGTGCACACCTGTAATCCCTGCTACTCAGGAGGCTGAGGCAGGAGAATTGCTTGAACCTGGGAGGCAGAGGTCACAGTAAGCTGAGATTGTGCCACTGCACTCCAGCCCGGGTGACAGAGTGAGACTCCATCTCAAAAAAAAAAAAAAAAAAAAAAAAAAAAAAAAGAGTGTCATATGGAAAGAATCTGTCTTTAACTTCAAGAGGTAGAACCAACCTGTTGGTGAAAACTTTAGAGAGAGATGGATTTGGGCTTCCCACAAAGAGAAAGGAGGCCTCCTAAGGGTGAGATCTCCCCACCAGTTGGCAGAGGATGTTGAATAACACGCTCCACCATCTGAAACATTATTCAAATGTCCATTCCCACTCTGGGATTCTCTTCTGTCTGTAAAATGAACGTTCCTCCGTTTAAACACAGGCACACACATGCACCCTAATTTCCCCTTCCTAGCATATCGGTTTGTTTCTGCAACCCACAGTAGACACTCTCTCCTTTTTCTATAATGAAAGCATAGATGGTACCCATATCTTGAGCTCACTTTACCCCAGACCAAGTTACCATACTCACTCGCCTGATTTCCTACACTAGTCTCTCATCTGGTGTTTTCACACCCTTCCAACTTACGTTCCCACACCCACTGTTGCCTTCTGGTACCTGTTCTGCAAAAGGTCGCCAGGGTTATCTTTTATTTTATTTTTATTATTATTTTTTGAGATGGAGTCTCACTCTGTCACCCAGGCTGGAATGCAGTGGTGTGATTTCGCTCACTGCAACCTCCATCTCCCGGGTTCAGGAGTTCCTCCTGTCTCAGCCTCCCGAGTAACTGGTATGACAGATGCACACCACCACACCTGGCTAATTTTTTGTAGTTTAAGGCTTGTCTTGAACTCCTGACCTCAAGTGATCCACCCACCTCAGCCTTCCAGAGTGCTGGGATTACTGGTATAAGCCACTGTGCCCAGCCAGTCATCTTTTAAAACAAATGAGGTTCTGCCATTTGTCTGTGCTGGCTTTGAATCTGGTGCTGACTTTCCAACACCTTCCAATAGACTGTCAGTCCCCGAGGCTTCCACACGCTGTACAACCAGTCCCGACCTATTCCTTCACCTGCCTCACCTGATACCTAGTTCGACCTCTGCTCTCTGCCTGCAGCTGTACTGCCTCCTTTCATTTCTTTAAAGCCTCTTGCACCCTCGCATCTCCTGGCCTTTGTGCAGTTTGTTCCTGTGGCCTGGAAGGTCCCCTGCATTCCAGCCCTCACCCCATCCTCCGCCCACCCATTTCCTTCTATTTAACCTCCAGATGTCAGCTCTGAGGCCACCCAGATCCAGCCCGATGTTATACATGCTCAGCAAACCCTGTCACTTGTCACAATTTCTAGCTGTGATTTTTTGGCCAGTGTGGCTATTTCCAGTAGGCCACCCGCTGGTGGATTGAGGCCATGTCTGTGCGGCAGCGCTCCGTAACAGCCAGCAGAGTACTCCGCACATAGAAAGCCCTGGGCAAATACTTACCACCTTCGTGAATGAAGGAAGGTTACAAAATTTAGCCACACTCCCTTCAAAGAGTAGGGGGGAGAAAAGCTCTTCCCACATTGGCATTTTAGGAACTTATTCATCGAATTAGCCATGTTAACTAAGTTTTCCTTGTAAAGTTAAAGAAAGATGTTTGTATATCCATGTGCATAGAACAAAAATATGTATATGATTATACTGTATTACAAGTTAATAATTTTATTTTTATTTATTATTTATTTATTTAATTACTTTTTTTTTTTATGAGACAGAGTCTCACTCCGTTGCCCAGGCTGGAGTGCAATGGTGCAGTCTCAGCTCACTGTAACCTCCGTCTCCCGGGTTCAAGCGATTCTCCTGCCTCAGCCTCCCGAGTAGCTGGAATGACAGGGTCGCGCCACCACACCCGGCTTATTTATGTATTTCTTTTTTAGTGGAGACGGGGTTTCACCATGTTGGCCAGGCTGGTCTGGAACCCCTGACCTCAAGCAGTCTGCCTGCCTCAGCTTCCCAAAGTGCTGGGATTACAGGTGTGAGCTACCACACCCGGCCACGAGTTAATTTTAAAAGTGACTTTTTACACTAAGAAAATGTATCGGACTGTTAAGGTCACATGGAAGGAAAACAGCGATGGTGTTTACAGGGTAGCTAGCACCCTGTGTCTCTCCTGCCAAGAAACAGTCTAACACTGAATGAGCAAGAATGATATCCGTCATATGTATGTAAAATCTGGTTATTCATTATTGTTCATATGGGTAGATTTTAAAGACAGAAACAAAGAACCAGGCTTTGAAGGTTTGGGCCAAAGGCGGCACAATTCCTTGCTTTGTTACAGTAAGGCAGGTGCCGATGGCCACAGGTGCTGATGGCTACAGCTGCCGATGGCCACAGAGCACGTTCTCCCTTTGTCCCGAGACTCCACACACCCCAGGGCTG